AAACACTTGCTGCGGAAAACGCCACGCTACGGGACTCAGTCAAATCTCTAACCGAAAATGTGACCCAATTAAACATAGAAAATAAAAAAATAAAAGAGACCATTATGGATTTACAAGCCCGTAGCATGAGAGATAATCTTGTGTTTTCTGGTATTCCAGAGTCTGCCGGAGAGGACCCGGAAACGAAACCCACCTGAAGCTGCCGGAGGACACGGTGAAAAACATAGGGTTCAAAAGAGTGCATCGCATCAGGGCTCCGAAGACAGGAAGCGGGAGACCACGTCCTATTGTAGCCAAATTCGGCCACTTCAAGCAGAAGGAGCAGGTGAAGAGTCGCGACAGAGAGCTGAAAGGAACGGATTTTAGCGTGAATGACCAGTTCCCCAGAGAGATCCTGGAACGACGCAGGGTCCTCTTCCCAGTCTTACGTAGTTTTATCCAGAAATGCTCCCGGCCTGTCATCGCCGTGGACCGGCTCTACGTGGACGGACAGCTCTACCGCGACCCTGGCACCACTCCATGGCTGTATTGACCGCACACCAGATAAGAATCCGCTACACTATTCTCTTCACTCACACTCTCTTGTATTAACTTTTGCTTAACTATGTAATATCAGTTTGCTAATTTAGTATAACGTCACCGTCACTCTCCGCCAATGCTTTAATTGGAATGTTTCCATTTTTATTTCTTTTTCCCTCTCTCTCTCTTGTCGCTCACCTTACTCTTTGGTTTCTTTGCTTCTCTTTTCTATCACTGCGTCGATCACCTGTTTCCCTATCCATCCACAAACGACACTGTCTATTTCTGCATGCTCACTCTGCACGATCACGCACACACATGCGTTTAAAGGCATCACATTTACAACAGCCACACAGTGCACACAGATATAGGACACACGCACACATTTGCTCATTTTAGTTATTATGCACACACATAGTCACACCTATGGAGCTTCTCGGCGCGCATTTTCTTCTCTTTACTTACAAAAAAAAAAATGATGTGTTTCCATTTTCCTCACCCGTCTAAGGGAGACACACAGCGTACATCATTAGCCACAAACACACAACTATGGGCACGCTAAGATTTGTCACATGGAATGTGCATGGAGCTGGCTCTAGGGAAAAAAGGTTAAAAATACTTAACCAACTTAAAAAATTACTGGCAGACGTTGTTTTATTACAAGAAACCCACATTCCTGTCACAGGTTTGAATAAACTTAAAACACCTGAGTTTCCTAATGTGTTCTCAGCCTGTTATAATTCTAGACAAAGAGGAGTAGCAATTCTCATACATAAAAATATTAATTTCGCAGTACTCGATACAGTTATAGATCCAGAGGGCAGATTCCTAATCGCTATGCATTGTAAGTATATATGGTCCAAATGTTGATGACCCCTCATTCTTCCACGTTTTTTTTAGTACACTCTCCGAACACCTAGATTGCACAATTGTTCTTGGGGGAGACCTCAACCTGGACTAAATGAAGAAATGGATAGGCTCAATACAGCAGGAACTCAGCGTAATTGGCAGTCCACAAATATAATCAAACAGTATATGAGCGACTTTGGTCTTTGCGATGCATGGCGCTCCCTTCACCCCAACAGTAAGGAATATTCTTTCTTCTCACATGTCCATCACTCCTACTCTCGTCTGGATTATTTTCTGGTCAGCAGCTCACTGCTGAGTGACATTTCAGACACTGAGATTCATCCTATAGCTGTCAGTGATCATGCTCCTGTATCTTTAACACTAATACAGAAGAATAATACTACACCAAGTAAAAACTGGAGATTTAATACATCACTGCTCAAAGATAAAGAGTTTATCAAATACTTTAAAAAAGAATGGACTCTATATTTAGGCTTTAATGACATTCCTGGAACATCAGCATCTGTCCTCTGGGAAGCAGGGAAAGCCGTGATGAGAGATAAAATAATCTCTTTCTCATCACATAAGAAGAAAGAAGAAAACAAAAATATTCAGGAACTAGAAAAAAACATTAAATCCTTAGAAAAAGCCTATGTGTCACACCAAGATCAAGAAATATTAAACAAAATACGCAAGACAAAACTAGAATTAAATGAAATTATTAATAAAAAAGACTAAATTCTTAGTGCAAAGACTTCGCCTGCAAAATTATGAACACGGTAACAAACCCGGACAATTTCTTGCTAACCAGTTAAAAATCAATAAAGAAAAAACAACTAGAATAGAATAGAATAGAATAGAATTCAACTTTATTGTCATTGCACATGCACAGGTACAGGGCAACGAAATGCAGTTTGCATCCATCCAGAAGTGCTTTAGTGATATAGATATATTACAATATATATTAGCAATAATATAGATATGTAAGTATGTTACAGAAATGGGTCTATTATGGTATGTTATAATGTAC